TCATGCTCATGTGCGACTAAAAGATTTTAAACTTAACTCTTCTAGTGTGGCCTTTTTTTGCGGATCAGTAACTTTCCATTTGTCGGGTCACTGAAGTCGACACAACTGACATACTACATAGCTGCACAATTAACTTCCCGAACTTCGAGAGCCAGTATTCCACAGGGTTAGCTATTTTGATTTTTTGCGATCTTGCTACGGCACGAAAAGTGCAAAAACGCATAATCGTACCGGCCCGCCCGCTGCGTCCCAGCCTGGGTTTAAACCTTGCTTTCTCTTTTATCTATTCCTTCTTCACCCCATTCTCACCCCCCTACTCCCACAATCACAGCCCTTTCCTTTTTTTTTTTCCTTGCTTCTTTTTCTATCTCTTCCTCTTCCTTTTCCATTAAACACTGCGACCATCATACTGACGAGGTCCTGACGCAGTGTTAAGACGTACATGACTTAATGGACCGAAACGTCCTATCTCATTCATGCCTTCTTTCCTTCTTTCTCGCCTTCGACACTTCGGCATCCAGCTCCACCTGGACGCTACAATCAGCTTATGTTAAGCTCACACATCTGTTACCGATTAGCAACAGCAGAAGTTGGCTGCTGAAATACGAAAAGACACAACATACAAGCCTTGCCGCCGTACAGTTCTGTGACTCATCCGCACTAAACTTCAACACAACACAATAGTAAGGTAACAGGAGAAACTAAAAACCCAGGGCGCAGCTGCGGTGCTTCAACAAGAAGCATTTAAGAAGAATGCACTAAAATTCACCCAAAAAAGACACAAACTGCCCAACATAGAAAAAAAAAATACACAGAATAGGCACCTTCAACTGCATAAGGGTATGGCGGTGCAGGGAAGTCCTCTCGTTCAATGGGCGGAATGACGCCAGGATCAGGAGCGTGGCCTCCAGGATAATGTGCCATTTCAATCGGCTCTTCGTTGTCCATATGCGGCGAACGTGGGCGCGGCGCATTCTTTTCGAGATCTTCCGCTAAATATCTCCTCTTTGCTTTTATTTTTTTGTAAATTAATTCACTGAAAACTTGGGTGTAAAATGGATGCGTCTGATAGAACGATTAATCGAACGTTCCAGCAGCACCACTTTCGTTCCAAAAATTTTAACAAAGCCGATATAAAATGCAAACTTAGTCGCTGCATTCCTGTTTTCAGCATCGATAGTCGCGACTTCCGGATTTTTATCGGACCTGAAATGATTCACGCACCCTCAAAGATGAGACTTTTT